GTTGTTGTTGTTGTTGTGTTGTTGTTGTTCCCGAGTTCCCGAAGCACCGCCAACATCCTCTGATCTGCACCTGATTGTGATCTGGACTTTGCAAAATAGCACTTCCATGCTTTTCTCAGTGGGGGTCTGTTTTGGGAAACACCTCTGGCCATACATGTCTCCTATCGAAGCGTTTCCTTCTATGTAACATATGCATGTCACAGGGAAGTCCTTTCGTAGAGTCACCATGTGGATCTGAGAGTTTTGATCCATCGCCTTCCGTCGTTCCCATCGCCTTCGCATCCCAACATCTTCCGCGAAGAACAGTCTTAAATCAATCTTGGCAATCTGCCACTTTCACTGCAAAACGATGTCTTTTGAAACATAATGCAACTCCAGGCAACTCCAGGGGACATTTGGCTCTCGAATTCAAGAAAGCTCCCGTGCAGTGGCACATGCCCGCCATCTTGATGTCCAAAGGATTCCCACCGTTTTGGGTGGAGCTTGCCCCAGGCCCAGCAATTAGGTCACATCCATTCGCGTGCAGCGACGTAGCTGGCCAAACCAAACTGGGAAAATCATGGACCACCGGAGAACCGCCCAAAACCAGGTTCACCTTCTCTCGTACGCCCCGTGGGGCTCCGCACCCCGCAGCATAGGCCGCCTGAAAACTCGGCCGACAGCGGCTCGCAAGGCCGACGTCGCGGCCGGCAGGAAACCTTGGGGGCCTATGAGTTCAATCACCGATTAGGGAGCTTGATTAGGCAACCTTAGGGGTCTAGATTAAGCTTAAGGAGATGTCTATGTGTTTCACCGAGATTAAGAAGTTGAGGGAAAACCGAGGATTCAAAGCATGGGCGTTATCAATTTCTTTCATAGTCTACTACCATCTACTACCCCATCACCCCCAGGCTAGAGGAAGAGACAAAAGGAGTCCCACGGAGTGCAAATGGGTTCCACCAACCTCCAAAGGATCCCATGGCCCCTGAAACAATGGCCCCGTGGTTTCGACCATGTTTCCGCTGTTTTTGCTGTTTTTTGTTTTTATGTTTAAAGAGTCCATGTGGCTGTGAGTCAAAACCCCAATCCCCGTTCACCAGAGTAGATGGACCTCCTGTTAGGTCGTCCGTTCATGTTCTTTGGTCAACCCAGGTAGTCCGGTCTTGATTCACGCCCATGTTAATGAGCAGGAGAGTAAAATTTCACCAAGGTCTTTGGACTCCAAGACGAAGGTACTGACGAAGGTTTCTTCGCCGCCCAACGTGACGGGATTTCAGCTGACGGCAGCTGACCCTTTTTTGGCTGACACAGCGTCAAAAACGTTTATATAGAAGTGCAACAAAAGAATCTGCTTTGAGGAAATGCAAAATACAACGCAAAGGAATTCATATACAAATTTGCAAATATAATAACTATTAATAACAAATTTAATATCCATAACTGCAGCTCACCCCCCCAAACCATCCAACCGTTTCTCTGTTCGTCTCTTCTTCGCACGGGTCGGACCTGCTGGCCGGAGTACTGCCCTGCACTGTAGGCCGCCTCGACGCAAAACCGATGCAAACGACCGATCTGGGCGGGGTGAAAGCAGGTGGGTGTTTCACATGATTGATGTGTGTAATGATGTTATTGTTAAACATAGGGTCTATGAAAAACTCCGGCGACCAATACCAAAGAGAACGCGAGCAGGATGTTCTGTTACATGTTTCTGAACATGAAATGGTTTGCAAATAGATGTTCCTGTCAAGGGCAAGATCTTTCTTACACTCTGCCCTTGAACTTTGCTGCACTCCAGGACCGAAGTGCAGTCTGGAAAGCAAGAGCCATGCAGCACTCCAATCCGATGCCAGCACACGTAGAACGATGCGTATAAGTCTACCGTAACCTGCTTTAAGCGGAAGAGGATGAATTCCTTCACAAATACAGCAAATTCCTAGACAGGCTGAACAGCCCTATAGCCCATCCCATATGTCGTACCACATAAGCTCTCTCAACCTCTCTTGGTTGGTGATGCTCCATGTAATTCAGCACAATCAGTGTTCCGTCCGTCGATCCGCCTGCACCTGATCCGTCGATGAAGAGACTCGCCTGATCCGTGATCCGCTGGTTTCAGCAGTCGATCTTCGCCCCATCTTCGCCCCCGGCGCGCTGAACAATCGCGCGTCGCGCGTTAAAAGCGCCTGCTGGCTGGACACGTAAGGCTGCCCGCCATAGGGTTGCTGTCCTGGGCCGAAGGTGCAGACGGCTCAATGTGGAAGATCGGGCCAGGAATTCCTGGGGGGCCACGCACCAAGTCAAAGTGATTTGAGCATATTTGATAAGATGTCAATGTGCCTGTAGTGGCCTGCCATATGCACTAGCAGGTAGCAGGAGACCCCTGCCGTGCATTTGGACAGCAAAGGGTTCATAAAACACCAGGCCTTAGCACGAAGGGTGCATCGGTATCGGACAGTGTGGGTCCAAAAATTGAGAGCCACCCGTGTAAGGAAACATCAACCAAAACCAGTGGGTGCTGGGTCTTGTTCTTGGAGGAATGGCCCCAAATCAGGAATTCAGGTGAAGGTGGGGAAAACCACTCAAGGGTCTGGCTTTGAGAATTTGATTGAAGCTGTTCAATGATTTGCTTGCGAATTGAGACCACACATTCCACTCCCACGTGTCTTTTTTCCAAACAACTAACGAGCCGGAACTACGATCCGGAGCAAAGTCCCTCACTGTGAAGCGAACCAAACCCACCTGTTTCGTGGGGAGGTGTCCCACCGTCTGCATGGCCTTCAACCTAAAGGGCAACGGCCAAAGACCTCATTGGGCGTCATTCGAGCTGACAGTACCACCGGTCATTCTTGAATCCGGAGTTGACTGTCCTTCACGGGGGGGCAAACCGATCGATAAAACAAAGACGGAAAAAGCGAGCTGTCGGCGAAGCAGATCTTCCAACGGTGCAAAAGGTCCGTTCAATTCTCGAAAAGCAGCCAGGCAAAAGGCAAACATGCGAAACATGAAGGCAAACATGTTGATACATGCATGCACTCATCATCACTCATCTAGCGCACCCTCTTTTCAGTGGCTTTTGAAACAAAGAAAAACGTGGCAAAACCGATGAACGCTGGCAGTGTTTCGGTGCTGGCAGTGCTGGCAGAAGATCCGGGCGTCCCGGGCCCACGTAGCTCTGCGACTGCGGGGGATATCCTGCCCGGGACCAGTTGCGGTCCAGGTGACGAGAACCGCGTAGGAAGGGAAAAAAGATAGGAAAACATGATGAAGTTGCGAGATGATAATTTGTTCAGCAAGATATTCGAGGAATTTCAGCAAATCATTCGATATGAAATAAGTTGAAATAATAGTTTTTAAAAGATAATGGACATTCGAGGAGAAACTCGAAACTGGAGTGAAGTCAAAATCCCGATTTTGCCATTCACCTCCAACATGGATCTTGAAAGACAATAAACAACTGCTGCCAATCTGCTGCCACTTTGAGAACTCTTCAACAATAGATTCATGCGGCCCTTCCAATCACTTCGCACAACCCATCTGGACAACAGAAACCTCTCTCTGCCCCGTGCCCCACCTGGCGCATGGTGCGCGGCCTTGGCAACAAGGCTTGTTGACAGTCCGAGGCTCTTCTGGGAGCGTTGATAGGTTTTCCACCCAAATGGCTGGCTGTACCACCAGATTCCTCCACCCCAAAAAGAACAGAACGACGTGGAAGATGCTGCGTTCCTCACAGATTCACATGGTATCAAAGTCAAAAAAAGAAAACACACCTGTCTCAACTTGATGGCCTACCAATCTGATGACGAGTTCCGCCCACGGGTGAACCCTTTCGAGTTGGCATACTCCTTGGCTTAGCACCTTTTTATTGTCCATATGCAAATCAGCTGCAAAAACAAAAAACAAACGAATGATGTTCGTTTCATAGAACCCCTCCAAGCACCACGTTGCTAGCAAATCTGTTGATTCTGATTTATTATATACCAGCGCCCTCCAACAGGTGCTTCCTGGTGACAACAGGTGCCCAGAAACCACTTGTTAGGGTCTCCAAACAGCCTGCTGGAGGGTGCTGGTACAAAACGCCTCCATGGCACAATCGATCAATGGAGAATCCACCAATTCACCACCTTGTGGGTTGCTGCCCCTTGATCCATCTCTTGTTTGGATCAAAGGGAATCGAAGCGAGGCCCGTGACCTCTGTATACACCGGACATCCTGCATATAAAACATGACGAGCATAGCGACGGCCTCCAACCTAGAAGAGATGGCCTCCAACCTACTACTACTACTACTACTACTACTACTACTACTACTACTACTACTAGCGATGACCTCCACCTGCATCAAAAGCATGAAACGCATCACATCACAACCAACCTTTGGGTGTATGGACATTGCCTTCCACGGATCAACACGGAAACCTGGTTCATGTTCTCCTCATGTAGACTGGACTGTTGAATTCATCTCAAAAATTATTGTAAAAGCTATACCGTCTATGCTGCCCCGACCCCACTGTAACCGACCCCACCTGCCAATGTTTCAACACCTGACAAATCCTGAAAAACCAACCCGCCAAATGACCCTCCAACTGACCACCCGCAGGCCAACCAACAACGTCCACGTCTTGTGGTTGCTGAGGGACCACTGCCGCAGCGTAGCTCGAGCCTGGATATGCCTAAGAGAGTGGCTTGAGGAGCTTCTTGAAGCAAAACAAGGGGATTCAAGGGGTATATTCTATCATAAAATTGCAGTTTCGGCCCGGGTTATCACCAGAACCAGCACACTCTTCATCCAAAATGCTGAGAAAAAGCCGTCGCAAACACACTGACACAGCACCGCTTGTCTTCATGCCCCGCCCTTTGGACGCCGAACCAAACCTCGGTTCGATCGGCTTCCTTTGGTCCCCACGCCGGTGGCGAGGCCTGGTGAGAAAGCTCGGGCGAGCGATTTTGGAAGTCGGACTGGGCAAAACTGGAGGTGTTTCTTCCTGAAAAGGCATGAAGAATCATGAAGAATAGCAATCTTGCTCATTCGTCATGCCTGGTGTGCGAGGGTGTGTGTGTTTTTCTAATCCATTGTTTGGTCGAAGGTGCGAAGAATTTTCATGTTGGGAGTTGCAAGGAAGAGTTATACCAAACGTTGACATGTCATTGAAAGTCATGAGGGGTTTGCCCTTGCCCTTGTGAGGGGTTTGGACAACGAGGCAAACCCTGAAGCTTGATCTGAGACGTTGTGCCCTGAGGCGGTGTCCCTTCTTGATTTGGGGGTGTATTACTGCTAGGAGCAAGGACGCTACTAGTAACAACGGGCATCGCTAGTAGGAGCTATTTGCTACTAGTAACAATGCTCTTGTTACATCTTGTTACTAGCTTTTTGTTCCTAGTAGTAAGGCCAGGAGCCCCTTGCTTCTTGTTACTAGTTAGAATAGGAAGCCCCATCGAGTCACCCCACATCAACGCCAACTCATCACATCGAGCAGAACCACACGCCGCGCCGTCGTTGGACGGGTGTCAATTCCCGTCGAACCGCTTCGACTTCGGAAGGATCCCCGTTCCAGGGCGAAGTGGGGTGGTCTCCTGGGGCTCGCACCTGCGCATAGCTGTTGATATCGCGGAGCAGGGGCCTCCGCCGCAAAACGGGCATCACATCACTTGGTGCACCCAGACGCTCCGTGAGTGCAAACAGCCCGACCGATTTCTCAAGGATTTGAGACCTCAAACGCCTCCAGATCAGGCTTCAGAATCGTCTGGGCAAGGTCCAACCCGAGATGATCTGAAGTTCACTCCGAAGCTGGAGATTCCGCTTGGAGCTTCAAAGATGATCGCAAAGATGATCGAGCGTGTTTTTCGGTGTTTGTCCATGGCACCAGCCCAGCTCACTGAGTGACTGAGAGGTGAAGTGAAGACAAAACAAACTTCTCTCTGTATACTCGGCTCTCCATTGGGTTCCAATTTTACCTGGATCTGGCGACCAACTCCGGTCGCATGCGGTAGCATGACAAAGTCTGGAGATAGAAATGCATGACCAGCGTCGACCAATGGTTGGAGCGTTACATCTCAGGTTCAAAGGCTCCAACCGCTCCCAACACCCAGCACTCATTACCAAGAAAAGACCGATTACAAACGGAAATACGAAGGATTTCTGCCCGTCCCCACCAAGTTGAGAAACACCTAATATGACGTCCGGACCGAAAAAAAATACGCCAGGGCTGCAAAAGGTCGTACCGAAACGATCTGAAACGATCTGGCCACTCGGGTGTTTCTCCTCCCGGACGGTCCGCCCCCATGTGAATCGCCCCACCTCTCCCGTTCGCCTGAGTTCGACCCTTGAGAAGAGGTCAGGTCTTTAAGCATGGGTTTTTTTGGAGTTTAAATTTTGGTTCGGGCAAGAACCATGATATCTGATTCATTAAAGGTTTCTTGGATGCTTTTGGTTTGAACATGTGTTGTAAACACCTGTAAACACCATGGTTCTGCGGCTTCGGCATCTCCGTCTCGTCTCCAGTTCGACGACTCCAGTTCTGCGCTCCGAGCAGCGGTGCTTGCGCCTCAGAGCAGCCCCAAACACCGGCTGACGCGCCAAACACCGACGTCGTCAAACACCCAAAATTGGAGGAGGGCTGGTAAAAATCTGTTAAAATATACTCCGGAAGGTCCGTTCGAGCATTTTCAACATGCGGCTTTGTAGTGTAAGATTGGTAGTAAGTAGTCTTTTAGTAAAACAGCTCGGTTGTTTGGGATTCAAACCATTTAAAAAGCCAATCATGGTTGGCTCGACAACCCCATGGGTCATCCGCGACCCATGGCGGGTCCGATGTGTCGGGAGTCTTTTGGAAGCGGTCGATGTGTTCCGCTTCAGATGTGATTTTTTTCAGTGAACAGTCGAGTGATGTTTCGATTTGGGCGAATGTTTGAGATGTTTCGATTGGGGCTGCGGTCACTTTTCAGGGGCCAGAGGTGGTTTGCTATGGGTTAATGTATAGGCTGTATAGGCATATACAGCATACATGGAGGGTTTGGGTAGGCTCGAGGACTTGGTCCAGATTCCGGACCAGATCGAATCGTATCAAATATATTCGAACCCCAGAAGTCCAAAGCTGGGGTGTATGTATGCAACTGTAACCAGTACATGCATGGTCCGGGATTGGTTGGACAGCTCCTACTCTACCAGGAATTGGTGGAATTGGTCGGCATGCTGTTTATATGCTTAAAATCATAGCTTTGGCTGATTGCTGAGAATTGGAGCAAAAATGATTAAACTCAATACCTGCAAATTCTGAACACTGTGGTTCCTTGAAATGGCCGGATAGCTTCAAGATCGCAAAAATAAGACGATTAAAACGTACTGTACATCTGCATACTGTATGTCGTGCATATTGAATGAATGAATCATGTTTCTCACAAAGAAAGCACTCCCCTGCTTGGCTGACATCAGCCCTCGAGGATTTGCTGCCATTTCATGGCAGTATACGAAACTGGCAGTTGAGGAAACAACTACTATAGTTCTTATATAGTCCTTCAGTTCGTGACCGAACATGGCTCTTCCTCCCGGTTGCTTCGGTCCCTCCAGTGATCGAGGCGACAAGGTCCACTTTCTAAGGGCGCCCCAATCGACGCTCCGTTTCACGGGGGGGGGGCCCTGCTATGACCCATGGTCACCCCGCCGCGGACCCGCCGCTGTTTTCTGCGGGAAACCACGATTTGCCATGCCCAGCCCTTTGGATGTCCTGTTTCAGACCACAAAGCCTTTGCAACTCCAAAAAGCTGACATAATGACATACATAAAAGCTGGGGTGGGTTTAGATTTATGTCAACTGTCTTCCATGAAACGTCATCGTCAACTGTCCTCGTCATCGTTTCGGCTCTTGACAGAGTGGCAGATGGAAGCCCAGGAGCATCTGCTGCCTCAGCGGCAGATGGCCAATTGGCGAACCAAATATGCAGCCCAACATCGATGGAGTCCAAACGGGTCATCCCCCAAATCTACCGCGGTGGATGCTGATCGAAACAGATCGGCTTCTCCATTGATCTCTTGTTTGTTTGGACGTGTTCCGACCTTTCATCTGGTGGGTCAACCGCTGGTTCAACCTGGCCATTGGGCCGGCTCCCTCATTGGAGTCTCAACATCTAGGCCCTGTAGGCTTGCTACATACACCAGGGCAAAATCCAGAAAGGGAATTCAAGGTTCGAGCCATAAGCATTTTTACTAGTTTGTGGTTTCAACTCGACACATATGAGTCAGTGGGTTCAATCATCTCAAGGTTGAAAGTAAAAAAATGAATCTGACACCACCACCCAGTTGACCTCAGCCATCTACTTTTCTCCGGCTGCATCCCGCATGTCTTGATTGAACCTTGGGTACCTAGAGCCGCACTTCAACCCGAACCGACCTTCAAACCTGTTGAAATTGGTTTTAAGTGGATGATAGTTAGGTTGCAAGCCGATCACCATCTGAAAAGGAGCCGATGTTTCATGGGGCACACCCTATTTGGAGCTCTTTTGTTTTTTCACCAAGTCCAAAATGATCCATCTAAGCCTGACGAAGCAAGCTGCATGGCGCCATAGAGGCCTACTTGAGGCAAGAACCAACAAGACCTCAGAGAAATTGGATCATATTGGGAATAGTTTTTTTCTTTATGCTAACGGTTCTTTTTTTATGCTGGATTTGGGTGGGTTCTTCTTTTTATGCTAACGGTCTTTTTTTTATGCTGAGGGTTTCTATTTTTATGCAAAGGGTTTCTATTTTTATGCTGAGGGTTTTTATTTTTATGCTAACGAATGTAATTGTCGCGGGGCTTTATTGGAAAATGTAATTGTCGCGGGGCTTTAGTGGAGAATGTAATTGTCGCGGGGCTTAGTGAAGAATGTAGTTGTTGCGGGGCTTTATTGGAAGGGCGGCGGCTCATCTGCGCACACAGATTTGACTCATCTGCGCACACACATTTTGTTAGCACTTGCGCCTCATCTGCGCACACAGATTTGACTCATGCACGCACACAGTCCATCGGGGAGACTCAAGTGCGCACACAGGCAATTTCCCGCATGTTTGCTCACTTAAAGATGGAATGGCCACTTCCTCCTCTAAATTTTACCCCTGCCCACAAAAGGGTGAGTCAAGTTGAAATG